CAGGTCTTCTGGATCCTCAGCAGTGTAGGAAGAAGTTGTTGTCCAGTGTAGAGGCTAAGGAAAGAGAGGTAAGGTTTGTGGTATGGCAGATGTTGTGGACAACTTATCTGTGTATTTGTTTATTATTTATATTCTATCTATCATCTATCTCTCTATCATCTATCATATCTATCTATATCTATCATATCATATCGATCATCTATCTATCATTTATATCTATCATCTATCATCTATCATTTATATCTATTTACCCATCTATCTATCTATCATCTATCTATCTATCTATCATCTATCTAATCTGTCTATCCAAATGGGCTCAGTTCTCAGTGAATTCATAATCTTGTGTAGGAGTAACATAAGATTAAAAATAGAATGAAATAATTGTTTTTAGAGCCATATGTTGTGAAAGTTATAAAATATGGAGGGTTATTTAGTGTTGTGAGCATCAGGAAAGAGATCTGAGAAGAGGAGGCCCTTGAGTTGAGGCCTGAGTAGGAATTGGCCAGACAGATAGGGGAGTGGGACAATAAATCTTTGTGTCCATTTATTATCACTCCTGGGGGACGTGTAATCACTAAGCACATCTAGAGAGGAACTCTCAGGCTTTCCCTGTTCTCATAAGAGTACCTAGAGCGCAGTGCATACCTCTTCCGCGAGTGGGAGAGGGCCTGGCCAGAGGAGCATATGCCAGGGAACCCACCAGCAGAAGACTATGAAGACTTGGCTCTGATACCCCTCTGCTGTGTGACTTCAGGCTAGTGACTTGATCACTGCGAGGCTCGGCTTCTTTCTCTGAACACTTGTTTGTCAAGTACCCACTCTGTTAATTTTACGAGGTTGTGAAAATGAATTGAGATAATGTGTATACAGACACTTTCCAACATACAACAGAGATGGACTGATTAGAAGGAATGTTTTCATTGTTTAATGAGAGTTTAGATTAGAAGATTTTGGGGGATTTGAAGCTAGAAAAAATATACTCTAAGGGAGAAATTTATGTACATTCCTAATTATGGGAATCTCTAGAACATATTTCACATGGATAATGAAGATTTACTGTTTAATAAATCTTTGATCTTGACTAAAATGTCTTACTGCAAGATGATACTTAATCCAAGCTATCAAAATAGACATAGTCTTAAAAATAAAATATTTTTCTATGGACTGATCTTTTTATTCTTGTGGATTTCAAAAAAGTCCACATCAAGTTTTTACATGATATGTACCTAAACGTGTTCCCAAGATATATGCTTTAAAAATACAACATAAATTTCTGAACTTGAAAATATGCATGATTCCATGCCCCATGACATAATGTTGACATTGTATTTTTGGTAATAAATTACTATACAAAATGGCTCAGTCAGGTTGCAAAAAGGCTGCCAGGAAGGTAATTTATATTCTGGGGGGTTTTGCTTCCTTATCAGAAAAACAATTTTAATTAAGGCATATATATATGTATCATAGAATGACCTCTTTTGAGTCACAAAGCTATTACCTTCAATTCAGACTAAATCAACATTTCAGTACAAATAAATATGGGTATCTGAAATCTATTAGTAGACAAGAGTTTAAAACTATGGGGTAAGAAAAATGAGATTTTTTAAAATTAATTTTTATTGGACTATAGTTGATTTACAATGTTGTGTTAGTTTCTGCTGCACAGCAAATTGAATCAGTTATACATATATCCACTCTTTTTTAGATTCTATTCCCATATAGGTCATTACAGAGTACTGAGTAGAGTTCCCTGTGCTATACAGTAGGTTTTTGTTAGTTATCTATTTTATACATAATAGTGTGTATATGCCAATCCCAATCTCCCTATTTACCCCTCCTGCCCTCCCTTTCCCCCTTGGTAACCATAAGTTTGTTTCAACATCTGTGATTCTATTTCTGTTTTGTAAATAGGTTTATTTGTACCATTTTTTAAGATTCCACATATAAGGGATATCATATGGTATTTTTCTTTCTCTGACTGACTTACTTCACTCAGTATGACAATCTCTAGGTCCATCCATGTCACTGCAAAAAAAAAAAAAAAAAAAAGTAAAATTATTTAAAATTAAAACTTATGTTTGGATTCTAAAAAGCACATTCTTAAATAACATGTATTAAAATGATAATCACAAAAATAAATATTTATAGCCAAGGGGAAAAAAAACAACTTAGATAAAGGGAATAGCATTTACTGAGTAATATTCCTGACCCAGAGCACTAAATAGGCATGCAATATATGAAAAACAGTTACGTAAAAATAGTTAGGCTCCATTTTAGAAAGAAGAAATTGGTGTTCAGACAATTTAAGCATGTAATCAAATATCTTATATTTATAAGTGGCACACCAACATTTGAACATATGTTTGACTTGATCCATTCATTTTTTATTTTAATTTTTTTTTTGTGGTACGCGGGCCTCTCACTGTTGTGGCCTCTCCCGTTGCGGAGCACAGGCTCCGGACGCGCAGGCTCAGCGGCCATGGCTCACGGGCCCAGCTGCTCTGAGGCATGTGGGATCTTCCCGGACCGGGGCACGAACCCATGTCCCCTGCATTGGCAGGCGGACTCTCAACCACTGCGCCACCAGGGAAGCCCCAGATCCATTCATTTTTTATGGAGAAATAGTAAGTTCAAATTATGTGTCAGTCACTGTACTCATAGCTGGTTATTCAGGGATACACAGAATAGAGATTGTTTCTACTGTTATAAACCAGTATCCAAGATCTGAATGGAAAGGTATTAGAAATAATGCAATAAAGATAAAAGACTTTTTCAATAATCCAGGGGTACTGTGACCAAAAAGTGTGCGTTGGCAGTTGCATTGAAAAGTAAAGTGTCGGGCTTCCCTGGTGGCGCAGTGGTTGAGAGTCCGCCTGCCGATGCAGGGGACACGGGTTCGTGCCCCGGTCCGGGAAGATCCCACATGCCGCAGAGCGGTTGGGCCCGTGAGCCATGGCCGCTGAGCCTGCGCGTCCGGAGCCTGTGCTCCGCAACGGGAGATGCCACAACAGTGAGAGGCCTGCTTACAAAAAAAAAAAAAAAAAAAAAAAAGAAAAGTAAAGTGTCTATTCCAGAGAATTGGTGAAGTAGAATTTATAGTTTTGAATTTTAAGGAGGACAGAAAAGGTAAGAAACTGAAGAATAAGAAAAATTGGAGTGGGAATATATTTTCTTTATGTTTATGGTTAGGGATGAAACATAGCAGAGTGATCATTAGACTGGAGACCAATACCAGAAAAAATAGGTAGAATGATTTCTCTGAAGGAAAAATGTCTAATAATGAGAGTTCTCAAAAATTGAAATTGGCAGCTTTGTGAAAATCCCTGTTGAAGGCATTCAATCACCACTCATTCCTTTGTTGTTGAAATTCAAGTATCCAGTAAAAAGAATGACCTTCTTGGCCTTATATTCCCTTCCAACTTGGACTTCATGGTTGTTACAGTAAAAAATAATGTAAATTTTGGAGTCTTCCTGATTCTGAAGATGTTGATTTAAATAAAACCTAGAAAGTAAGATAAGCAAACAAATCAAAACAAAACAATCCCCTCCCCTGAAACAAACAAAAAAAGCAACACTTTTGTTTTGGACTGAATGTTTGGTCAGGGAAAGACTGAATGTTTGGTATAGAGTGACATATTTTAATTAGTGAGGCAAGACATTGTTTCAATAAACCTTGACAAGTGCTATGACATGTATCTGCACATAGGAGCCAAGAGGAGGATGATCCAATCCAGATGTTAGCAGTGAGGAAAGGCATCTCACAGGAACTTATCACAGATGTGAATTTTGATGGGCAAACAGATTTTTTTTTAGCTGAGAATTAAGGTGGCAAGAAAAACATTAATAGCAGGAGAAATGATGCTCTTTTCCCTCTTTTACATGTTGAAAAGGTAAATGTGATAGGATTATTTGGAAGAAAGGGGACACATTATACTTCAAAATCACAACAAAAATTTTTGTAGAAGGTTGAGAACTTCTGATTAATGTACGTATAAATACAGGGCAAATTGAGTTTTGTACTACTTTATGTCATGAGGGTGGGCTTTTGCTGTAGGTATCAATGTTATCTCCTAAACTTTAGCTTCTGAACTAAACATACAAGGAACAGTAGTGATAGGAGAAGGAAAGAATGGTTTATCGAATTAGGGGAATGCACTAATCTTTCATAATGTAAAACTCTGATAAGTTCTGCATATGAAAAATATTAGACTCTGGTCCGAGGTTTCTGATTCTTCAGCCAAATAAAGTTGGTTAGGTTGTGAAAGTCTCCTCAATGGTATGATAATACTTATGTAGCTACAAAAAATGGGAGAGAAAGGAGGGCTGCCTCACCTGTGAAGGACCTTACTTTGCCTGGTACATGGAAGAAGGAAATATAACAAGAAACACTTACATACAGCACACTGTCTCCACACTTATAAGTAGTTATTGTTTCAGTGGATGGGTTTGGCTTTGAATGATCAGATTTTGATCTGTTTCTTGGGATTTGAGGAGAGTTGGACATGGAGGAGGTACGGAACACTGAGAGGGTTGGAGAAGCCTGGCAAGAAGTCAAGAAAGGAGACAGGAGTATTACCTTTCCTATGGCCAGAAGCAGGGGTTTTGGAAAGATGAGAGAGAAAAAGGTGCAAAAATTTCCTACATTCCCCAACAAGCTTGTTTTATAAGATACATATTAAATGAAAGGAGACTTTGAAAATGATTATCAGTTTTGGAGCACATGATTCTACTGAGACAATTCTTCAGCAGAACATATTAACATGATGCTCTTTAAATAAAAGTGGAGTCTCCAAAACAACAAGCTATTTTAAGCAAATCATTATTGATTGTCAACAGTGACTGGCACATAATGGTTGCTTACATATTTGTTGCCTGTGTCAAGGAATGAATGTTGTGCTCTGCCAATTACTGACAGTACATAAAGGTCCATGGGAAGTAGTGACACACACACTTCAGAAACACCCTCTTGCAACCCATCTGAATCCACTTCCCTTGACAACATGTTTTGCAACTACTACGGCAATTCCTGTGACTACAGGTGTAGAAACAGCTATGACTGTGGAGTTAGTCCCTATTATGGCTGTGGATATGGCTATGGATATGGCTGTGCATATGGCTCTTACTATGGCTGTGGATATGGCTCTGGCCCTGGCTACTGCAACTACCGGCCAGTTTGCTATAGGAGATGTTATTCTTCTTGCTACTAGAACATCACTATCCAAGGTCCATTTGCTTCTGAAAAGACATCTAAAGATAATGCTGATTCAAAGATCTTTAGGACACAATTTCTATATCCAAGAAATCACATGTCTGACAGAGGTATTGACCTCCAGCTACCAAGTTTTAGATTGGCATCTTTGTGGCCTGAAGTCCATGGTGGTATCATTTGCCTATTTTCCAATTGTTAGCCTTTACTCCTTTAATCTCTGATTCTCTGTATTGATGATCCTAACATCCTATTGTTGGGGAAATCCCTTGTTATCAATAAAAATTGTTCATTGTTTCTAACAAATTTCTGTGTATTCATTTATGAATTAGTCTTTTTTGAGATGTTATGGCCTCTGTTGAAAATTGGGCTAATATCTTGTCTGAATCTCGAGTTTTTCCTTGATATAATATAAGCATTTCTTCTTATATTTGCATCAGAAATAATACCTCTACACTTATTTCTCGTATCCCACATGCTCAGGCACTCACATACTCAAGCACAAATCTCACAGTATTTCAGAACTGTGCTTTGCAAATCGCTCTTTGTCTGGGAGGGAGCTGGAGGGGAAAAGAGGAGGAGGAATGACACTTTAAGCAGGATGTTAATGCAAAGCCTAAGGTAGAGAAAAGGTGACCTGAATGCTTAAAGGAATAGTGGAATGAAAGAATACTTTCCAGAATTAATGAGAAATTATAAGCAGAGCTAGGTATTAAAGTACATGAAGAAAAGAGAACTAGGAAAGGATAAGTTAGAATAAAATTATTCTACTGTATCATCTGCTTTTGATGAAATTGCAAATATATTTACTTGCACATATTTATTGAGATTGAGGAAATTTATTCAAGTCACTTAATTGACAAATAATTTTGAGTAGTTTTGAAAGAGTCTCATTTGATACAGTGAAGACACAGTAGGAAAATTATAGACAAGTTTCCTGCTCTCACAGTGTTTATATTCTAGTATGTGAAGATAAAAAAAGTATAAAAAATAATTAAGAAAATTTCAAACCGACAGTTGGGAGAATAAAACAGCTTAATGGGAAAGAGAGTAAGGACTGAAGTGTTAGAGGGATAGTTCAGGGAGGAATTTTGAACTTGTGACAAATGAGCTGATGTCAATTGCAAAGAAAGACAGAAAGTACAGTAGTAAGTGTAAGGGGTGAGAGAAGTTCACTAAGTTTTGGAAAAATATGATTTATTAAGCATGTATGAGATAATTTGTGTATCCAGAAAAGAATCTTCACACACCAGCTCTTAACATACCTTCAAAATCTGAAATGTTGTGACTCCTTAAAGAACATTCGAGACACTCAGCTTTATAGAAATGAGAAATGGTGATAATATTTACAAATATCCTACAATTTATATGTGCCACACAAATGTTTGACTTCATCCATTTTCTTATTGGAGAAATATTGATTGAGTACAAATTATGTGCCAGGCACTGTTGTGAGAGATGATTATTCAGTGATGTATAGAATATATATATATATATATATATATATATATATATATATGTATGTATATTTGTTTTGGATCAATATCGAGAGGTTTGAATGGAAAGGTATTAGAAGTAATGCAATAAAGATAGAAGACTTTTCAGTAATCCAGGAGTATAGTTATCAGAAAATGTGTGTTGGCAGTGGTATTGAAAAGTAAAGTGTCTAATCCAGAGACTTTGTGAAATAACATTGATAGTTTTGAATTTAAATGATGACAGAAAAGGAAAGAAACTGAAGAATAATAAAAATTGGAATGGAGATATATTGATATTTTCTTTATGCCTATTGTTATGGATTAAACATAGCAGAGTGATCAGTTTATACCAGTGACCAATATCATAAAAAAGATATATTCATTAACTGGAAGAAATTTGGCTAATAATTAATGTTCTCAGAAAGTGAAATCAGCAGCTTCATGAAAATTCCTGTTGAAGGCATTCTATAGACTACTGGATCATAACTCATTTTTTGTTGTTGAAATGTGAGATTCCAGTAGAAGGAATCACCTTCCAGAGTTTATACTCCCTTCCAACTTGGATTTCATAATTGTTACTATAAAAAGTTACTTTAATTTTGATAAGAAAGGAAAGAGGAGAAATAACAGCTGATACCACAGACATACAAAAAATCATAAGTGATACTATGAACAGTTATATGCCAACAAATTGGACAGCCTAGAAGAAACAAATTTCTAGAAACATACAGAATGACTAGACTGAATCAAGAAGAAACAAAATTTGAACAGATTGATCACTACAAGTGAAGTAGAATCTGTAATTTGAAATACTCCCAGCAAACAAAAGTCCAGGACCAGAGAGCTTCACAGGGGAATTCTATCAAACATAAAAAGAAGAACTTATACCAATCCTTCTCAAAATGTTCCAAAAAATTGAAGATGAGGAAACACTCCCAAATTCATTCAACAAGGCCACCAAAACCAGATACCAAAACCAGACAAAGAGATTATAGAAAAAAGAAAATTATAGTCCAATATCTTCAATGAACATAGATGCAAAAATACTCAAAAAAATATTAGCAAACCAAGTCCAATAATACAAAAAGGATCATACGTCATGATCAAGTTAGATTTATTCCAGGGTCACAAGGATGGATTAGCATGTGCAAATCAATCAATGTAATGCACCACATCAACAAAAAGAAAGAAAAAAATCACATGATCACCTCAATAGATGCAGAAAAAGCATTTGAAAAAATTCACCATCGATTTATGATAAAAATTCTTGTCAAAGTGGGTGTAGAGGGAAAATACATTAACATAACAAAGGCCATTTGCAACAAACCAACAGCCAACATAATACTCAATGGTGAAAATGCGAAAGCCTTCCTGCTAAATTCAGGAACAAGACAAGGATGATCACTCTCACCACTTCTACTTAAACTGGAAGTTCTAGCCACAGCAGTCATAAGAAAAAGAAATGAAATGTATGCAGATTGGAAAGTAAGAGTTAACACCATAACTATTTGCAGATGATATGGTACTTTATATAGAGAACTCTACAGTCTCCACCCAAAAACCATTAGAACCAATAAACGAATTCAGTAGGTTGCATGATACAAGATTAATATACAGAAATCTGTTGTGTTTTTATATATTAATAATAAAATATTAGGAAGATAAAGTAAAACAAATCCCATTTAAAACTGCATCAAAAATTACCTAGGAATAAACTTAAACAAGGAGGTGAAATATCTATACTCTGAAAACTATAAAATTTTATGAAGGAAATTGAAATTGATATAAAGAAAAGGAGATATATCCTGTGTCCTTAGATTTGAACAATTAATATTATAAAAATGGCCATACCTCCCAATGAAATCTACAGATTTAATGCAATCTCTATCAAAATACCTATGACATTTTTCACAGAACTAGAACAAATATTTTTAAAATTCACAGAACTAGGACAAATAATCCTTAAACAACTCTAAAATTCATAGAAAAATATTTCTAAAACTAGGACAACAAAAGACCCCCAATTTTCAAAGCACTCTTCATAATAAAAGACAAAGCTAGAGGTTCAACCCTACCAGACTTTAGACTATATTACAGTGTGGTATTTGCTACAGAACAGACACATAGGACAGTGGAACAGAATACAGAGCCCAGAAATAACCCCACACACTTATGATCAATTAATCTATGACAAAAGAGGCAAGAATATACAAAGAGAAAAGACAGTCTCTTCAACAAGTGGTGCTGGGAAAACTGGACAGTCATATATATATAACAATGAGAGTAGAACATTCCCTCACACCAAATACAAAAACAAACTCAAAATGGGCTAAAGACCTAAATGTAAGACCTGAAAATATAAAACTCTTAGAAGAAAACATAGGCAGAACACTCTTTGATGTAAATTATATCATCATTTTTTTCGATCTGTATCCTAACGCAAAAGAAATAAAAGCAAAAATAAACAAATGAGACAAAATTACACTTAAAAGGTTTTGCACAGCAAAGGAATCAATTGAAAAGATAAAAAGACAACCTATGAAATGTGAGATAATATTTGCAAATGATGTGACTGACTAGGTGCTAATATCCAAATTACACAAACATCTCATACAACTCAAAGGCACAAAAAACAAACAACCCAACCAAAAAATCAGTTATTGGGCACATGATTCTACTGAGACAATTCTTCAGCAGAACAAATTAAAATGATGCTCTTTAAATAAAACTGGAGTATACAAAATAATGAGCTCATTTTAAAGAAACTATTATCGATTGTCAACAGTGACTGGCATATAAAGGTTGCTTGCATATTTGTTGTCTATGTCAGGGAATGAATGGTATGCTCTGCCAATTACTGACAGTATATAAAGGTCCATGGGAAGCAGATGACCCACATGCTTCAGAAACATCCTCTTGCAAGCCATCTGAATCCACTTCCATTAACAACATGTGTTGCAAGTACTATGGCAACTTCTGTGGCTATGGCTGTGGAAACAGCCATGGCTGTGGATTTAACCCCTATTATGGCTATGGATATGGCACTAGATATGACTGTAGATATGACTGTGGCTATGGAACCAGATATGGCTGTGGATATGGTTTCTGCTGTGGCTGTGGATATGGGACTCTCTATGGCTGTGGATATGGCTCGCGTTATGGCTGTGGTTATGGAACCAGATGTGGCTGTGGATACGGCTCTGGCTACTGCAGCTACTGGACAGTTTGCTATAGGAGATGTTATTCTTCTTGCTGCTAGAACATCACCATCCAAGCCTTGTTTGCTTCTGAAACAACACACCGAAAGATAATGGTGATTCAAGGATCTATAACCCATGATTTCCGTATCCAAGAAATTACATGCCTGACAGAGACTTTGACCTCCAGCTACCCATTTTTAGATTGGCATCTTTGTGGCCTGAAGCTCCATGGTAGTATCATCTGACTCTTTTCCAAATGTTAGGCTTTACTCTCTTAATCTCTGATTCTCTATTATGACTGTGTTGATGATCCTAACATTGTACAGTTGGAGAAATCACTTATCCTCAATAAAAATGGTCCATTGCTCCTAACAAATCTCTGTGTACTTGCTTGTGAATTAGTCTTTTTTGAGATAATATGGCCTCTGTTGAAAATTGGGCTAACATGTTGCCTGAACCTTGAGTTCTTCCTTGATATAATACAAACATTCCTTCTTATACCTGCACCAGGAATAATGTCTTCTCCACCTATTTCTTGTATCCCACATGCTCAGGCACTCATATACCCAAGCACAAATCTCACAGTATTTCAGAACTTTGCTTTCCAAATCTCACTGTGTCTAGGATGGAGCTGGAGGGGAAAGAGAAGGAGGAATGACACTTTATCCAGGATGTTAATGCAGAGTCCAAGGTAGAGAAGAGGTGGCCTGAGTCCTTAAAGGAATAATGGAATGGAAGAGATACTTTCCAGAATTAATGAGAAATTAGAAGCAGAGCTAGATATTAAAGTACATGAGGAATAAAGAACTAGGAAAGGGTAAGTTAGAATAAAATTATTCTACTATGTCATCTGCTTTTGATGGAATTGCAAATATATTTGTTTGCACATATTTATTGAGATTGAGGAAATTTATTCAAGTCACTTAATTGACAGATAGTTTTGAAAGAGTCTCATTCTATACAGTGAAGACACAGTAGGAAAACTATAGACAAGTTTCCTGTTCTCACAGTGTTTACATTCTGGTACCTGAGGATAAAAATCAACAGTAAAAAAGATTTAAGATGAATTCAGACTGACAGTTGCTATGGAGGAAATAAAACAACTTAATGGGAAAGAGAATAAGGACTGAAATATTAGAGATATAGTAAGGACTGAAATATTAGGGATATAGCTCAGGGAGGTGTTTGAAAGTTGTGACCAATGAGCTGATGCCAGTTGCAAAAAAAGACTAGAAAGGACAGTAGCAATTGTCAGAGGGAAGAGGAGTTCATTAAGCTTTGGGTTTGCTTAGGTAGTACTACATTTTTCAGCTGGAAAAGAGTAAGGTCTAGTGGCTTAATAAGGTTGTCTAATGCCTTAATTGGGACAGATACAAGAATGAGATTAAAAAGTCCAGTTAAATTACTGAATTGGAGAACCTATTGCTTTGTTGGATTCTGACTTTAGTGTTCTTTCCTCATCTGATCTTCCCAAACTCTAACATTTAGATCCTACAACAGAAAAGCCTCTTCAGACTCAGTAGCAATCGAGTTTCAACCAGCAGTGATAAAGATGTTGTGTCTTATTTGCATGACATGGGTCACTGCCCAAAGTCTGACACTGAGGTCCCTGGAGCTAGGAGACCCCACGTAACGGCCCAAACCAAGGAAGATTGTCCTGCCATCAAAGTCTGCCCTGGTGGAAGGTTATGTCCAGGATATAATTTGTCTAACTGATGAAGAAACAGGGGTTCTTTCAAGAGCAGGATAGTTTTTGTAGCCGGAATATTTGTTAGTCTGATCTGAGGAATAACTATGCTCTGGGTAACCCTAAGGTTAGTCTTACAAGCAGAGGCAGAGGCAGAGGATTCTAACAGTTAAAGCTCTTTGAAAAATCTAACTTGTTTCCTTATGTTCCTCCTCATCAAAGGTATGTCTAAAATAAGGAAAAATGTAATTTATTAGGCACATATAAAATAATTTATGTATCCAGAAAAGGTTCTATCCATTATTAGGCATGTATGAAATAATTTATATATCCAAAGAAGCATTTTCACAATCTATCCTCAAAATCTGAAATGTTATGACCATCACTCCAAGAAAATTTCATACTATCAGCTTGAGTGAAATGAGAAAATGGTGATAATGTTAAGAGAGATAAGGATGATTAAAATTAGAGAAAATTTGTGTGTGTGTGTATGTAGTATGGGTTTGGTGAATATTGGGAAAAATGAAGATTTGGTTTCACATATCTAATCATATTATAGAGGAAAGGAAAGACCATTGCCATGAATGAGTTTTTTTCTGTAGTTAGGAAATGATTTAAACTTTATAACCCCTTTATGAGGAAACTCAAAATCATTTTCTTTGATGAGCTATTGCATATTATAAAGGTTTTAAACTGTAAAATCCATTATTTGTTCTTTCAGTCATTTAACAAACCTTAAGTTCATGTTCCAGCTATGTGCTGGGATTTGGTGTTTGGTATAGAGATATAAAACACATCGTTCCTTCTAAGAATTTGAAATACTCAGTTAGATACAAAATATCAATAGTAAATCATAGATTCACATTATAGCAGGTATGCTTGCAGGTGTTATAGGGCTACTGAACAAGAACTCCAGGGGGAAGCCTAAGTCAGCCAGAATATGGGAAGAGGAGGCTACACAAGGGTCATAAATTGCTTCCAAAGGAGAATGGTATATGAGCAGAGACATAAATGATGAGTTGAAATTGGTGAGTTAAATAAGAGGGAAAATAGAATTCAAGGCAGAGGAATTTAGAAAAAGAAGCAAATAAGCTGGTTGCTTATTTCTAGAGTAGTAACTGCTACTGGAAAAGTTATAATCAATGGCTACACCCATAGAGGAATCCTCAGATTTTCTCAAGCTGCACTGTCCAATATAGAAGCTACTAGAGAGATGTGGGTATTGAGCACTTGAAATGTGGCTAAGAGCTGTTAAGTATAAAGAACACACCAGATCTCAGAGACTTACTGTAAAAAATTCATGAAAACTATATCAAATAGTTTTAAAAATACTGGTTATATATTAAGTGATAATATTTTGCATATATTAGGTTAAATAAAATATGCTATAAAATTAATTCACCTTTTAATCTTTTTAAAATGTGGCTCCTGGAAAATGTAAAATTCTATAAGTATTTCATGATATATTTCTACTTTTCCATGTGGTTTTAGAAGGTCTCAACAAGCTGGTCCAGAGAGGTCTGTAGCTAGGAAGAGAAACCATGTTAGGCCACCAGTAAAGATCAGACAATCTAGCCATGCTATCAACATATAGGCAGTAGATCATTCTGAACCAGTAAGACCACAGTACTCAATGCAAAAGACTTCTGGAGGAGGGGGGGTTTCCAGTAAAGGCAAAGTTTTGATCTGAGATAGTGTATTTAGTAAGTGGAATCGATCAATTTGCCATCTGTTTAGACACAGAAAAAATAGATGCCTGCCTCATACCATACACAACAGAACTTCCGTATTGATTAATGTTTTAAACATGAAATTTAAATTTTAAAGTACTAGAAGATGGTATAGGCTTTCAGCAATTTTGTAAGCCAGTTGGTAACTTGAAACCAGTCATGCTAGTATGCCATGGAAATTAGCAAATCAGACCCCATACTCCCAACAGAAGTCATTAAACAACAGCACACCACTGCCGTATCCCTCCTGTTATTGAGAAACAAGTTTATTTCTTTGAAATTTTTACAATAGGTATGTATTAATTATGAGCCTGAAAAAGAAAAAAAAACAGGAAAGAAAGAAAAGAAAGATCCATGGAAATAAAGGAAGAGAGGCTACAATATTTTTGCATGTTCAGAAATCTTTAGCCTGTTTTGAGTCAATATCCACATTCTCCGGTGCAGGAAACATTGTCTTTAACTGTACTTTCCTTCAAGATATCATTTCCTCAAGGTCATACAAATGATCACACTTAAAATAAGAAGATTGTATAGATAGTGATGGAGAGCCTAGGTTCTGGAGTCACACTACATGCTCAAGCATAGACGCCATCAGTTATTAGCTGTGTGATCGTAGGAACATTATCTAACTTCTCTGAGCCTCAGTATACTCAAAGGTAAAATGACAGAATAGTGCTAGATCAGTACTGTTGAGAGTACTGAACTAAATAAAATATGCATTCTATACCGCCGTGAGAACTTAGTAGATGTTTTGTTATATTTATTATTAGGTTGTTGAATAATGAAATTGTAGACATTTAACCATCTTAATCTACAAAAATGACAATTTTATATATTATTTTTATTGATAATATTTTTAAAATCCCAGAATTTTAATCAATAATTTGTTTCCTCATGTCAAATAGGTAGGCGCACTTCTTTTAGTTGTTTTGTACGTGTATCATATATATATACTCCATAGTTATGAATGCTAAAATATACTGTGACACCAGGTATATTGATATAATATTTGTCATTGTATTATTAGTAACAAATTAGTGGGCTTTAGTGGAATAGTTTGTTTTCTGGTGATTTGGTCCTGCTTTTTTACTTTATCATCAAATTGTAATAATTACTTGAGAAGTTTCCATTAGGTTTGACAAAAGACATAGGATCTTTCGTGAAAAGTGTTTTGTTTTTTTTTTTTGGAGGGGGTAATGTGATAACAGTAAATAGTGGTTGCAGTAAACTGAAGAGTGAATAAGTGAGGAAATGTAAATATTGAAATGACTAATCTTTCATGTAGCATGTGGTGAAAGGATGGAGACTGGTCCAAATGGAAATGGTATTCACTCTCCCTGGAGACTTTCAAAAGCCTAGAGCTCACCTTTGAGCACTATATATATATATTTTTATTCAATATTCTATGTCCTGGAATAGGGCTTGCATGATGTAGGCATTCAAAAATTCTTGTAAAGTTAAACTGTGTGGTTCAGTCACTGCCTAGAAAAACAAGTAATGAAATGATGCAAGTAAATATGGTCATGCTAGAGCTATTTTGGGGAATAGCAGGTGACACGTGAAATGTGGATAGGGTCATGAAGTTTGCAGGAATGGAGCCAATGCTGACTATATTTTAGTGGAAAGAATTGCAAAAGTGGTA